TATATATATATATATATATATATATATATATATATATATATAACCTGTAATTGAACAACTTTCTTTTCTGTTTCTTCCAACTTCTTTCGTCTTTCTACAATTCTACTCCTAAAATCGCTTTAAATGTTCCATTTACTTCGGTTTAATGCAGCTCCTCACGCCGACGGCCAACCGATTGGTTAACCGCTTTCTCCTCCTAAAACGGCTTCTACTTCGAGTTCTGTAAGTTGTTCAACTTTAGTTGTTTCTTCAACTATAATAAGTTAGTCTTTTGCTTGGAAACAATTAGTAATAGCTAACTTTGTGTGCAGGAAACAATTAGTAATAGCTCTTTGTTTTACCTTTTTTGTTAGTTCTTTAATAGGAATATACTAATATGTAATAGCTCTTGTTTTGTGTTAATCTTAATTGAAGTTTAATCGGTCGGTTATAAATTATAAGTTTAAATTAAATAATAATGAAGCAAATGGTTACTTGACAGATGGTTTCAACTGCTAACGTCATTAACCCTATATCTCCCATCGATGAAGATGATCCCGACATTGAGCTTGCACATTACAAAGAAAATGTAGCCGTTAATGTTGATGAAAGTGCAACACCACCATCCACCATTTGAGAGGATGGAGATACATGACTAATAGAGAATATTGCAGCGGTGAGGTGAAAAAGTGTCCAAATGAAAGTGATTGGGAAGTTGCTAGGTTATTTATGAAGTTTTTGAAGATTTTTTATGATTGCACTCTAAGATTCTCTGGGTCTAACTTTGTTACATCTAATCAATTTATAGACCGGGTTTCTTTTATTCATAGTTGTTCGGAATTTTGGAGCAGGAATAAAGTTGATAATAAGTTGAGGGAAATTGCTATCTCAATGAAGAAAAAGTATGACAAGTATTGGGGAAAATGGAAGATTTGAACTCGTTTCTACTTGTGGCTATAGTGCTTGATCCTAGATACAAAGAGTCTTTTTTGAATGTGTATTTTGAGTTGATGTGTGGTAACAAAGATGATGCTACAAAGCATTGTAGATATGTTAGAATGACTTTAGATTTTATGTACAAAGAGTATTGTAAGTTGGATTCGAGCGATGTCTTGTATTAACGTTGAGGATGATGGTAGAGATGTTAACGATGATGTGGATGGGTATGCCTTATTTGATCAACTTCGCAAAAAAAAAAAAAAAAAAAAAAAAAAAATTGATTCCTCAAAAAACAAAACCGAAGTTGACAAATATTTCACTGAAGCTTGTGAAAATACGGATCAGGTTTGCTCTTTTTTTTCATTATGAGTTTCTACTTTCTAATATGTTTTTAATAGTATTGCATTTTTGTTTTAACTTTATTTTATATTACTCTTTACAGCATGATTTTGAGGTGTTGAAGTGGTGGAAAAAGAATGCGAGTAGGTTTAAGATTCTTTCCATGATTGCACAAGATGTATTTGCTATGCCTATATCTATCGTTGCATCAGAGTCGGCCTTTTCTACCCGTGACCGTGTTATCGACCCATATAGTTGTTGTTTGACTCCTAAAGCGGTACAATCATTAATTTGTACTCAAAATTGGATCTGACAAACAACATCAATTGATGTTGATGGCACAAATGAAGAAGTTGAAGCGTTAAAAGTTGGTAAGTAAATGTGTCTATATCTATACTATATTATAAAGCATTTGGCTAAAACTCTTAAAAACTCTTAAAACTCTTAAAAACTCTTAAAACTCTTAATAACTCTTAAACCAGATTTCATCCCTATCCGATTTCATCCCATATATGAATTTGTATAACTAACTGCAGATAAACACAATCAAATACATGATAAACATCTAATTTTAAATATAAAAAATCTAAAATATAATTAGGATAATCATTGAGTTCTAACAGAATACTTAATTATTATCTTTATAAAATGTTATGTTATTCAACCAAAAATAAATTATTTCATTATTAAACCTAAATTAAATTATCTTTACTATATTATAAAGTATTTGACAAAAACTCTTAAAAACTATTTTTTATGCGTAAAGTACTGTTTATTAATGCATATTACTTAAAACTCAAGATTACAAGTAGATTGTGCATAAGTATTAAAGCTCCATATCTGAATT